TTCTAATTCAAAGGCATTCTCTGACACAATGGCTAGTTTTAGTTCAGTCATATCAAAGTTAAAAACTATGAATATTAAAACAGGATATTATAGTTTACCAAAGTCTGCGCACGTGTTCACTAGGATCAAAGAAGTTATTTCATAACAAATGAAACAACCCTAAAACTTCCTTGCAGAATCCTAACTTAAATGAGTCTAGATTAATATACCGAAAAAATTATATATATATTATATAATTATTACATATTATATATGTCATATATAATGTATATTATTATATACATCATTTTATATATAACATATTATATATATGGAAGGACATACTGTCTATAAATTAAAAAAGACTTTTGTTTTTTAGGTACTGGTAAATAGGTACTGACCATGTCAAAAAACAGCTTTTTTTCCTTAAGGTAGTGAAAACTAATAGGAGGGGTTTGTTTTTTAAATGTCTAAATAATAAAAATGTATAGGAAATAATAAAAAAATTTCTCTACAAATTTCTGTATTACATACATCCTCAGAAAACTACAGAATTTTTAAAAAAATTTTCAGATTTTTTTACCATTCCCTACATGTTTTTAATCTTTCTTCTTGTTGATCTCCCTAACAAAAATGCCAAGAAGTGTAGATGACAAATGTTTAAATTGTTATAAAATCACTTACTCCTTTGTGATAAAAATTCCAATTCATAAACAGTAACTTATATTTAAAGTTACTGCATTAGCTGTTTTAAAGTTATTTAAGTAGAAAGTAACCCAAAAAAGGCCATTTTCCACACGTATGGACACAGAGAATCAATCTCCCACGCATTTTCTGTAAAAATTTTTGGAAAATGTACATCAGCCAACAGTGACAAAGGACAAGAAAAACGAGAATCTAAGAAAGAGTGGGGCCAGTAACCAGGAGGGCGAGGAAAAGACCCAGGATGAGAGCGGGCAGCAGGCTCCAGGCTGACCACTCAGTAAAAGGCACCACAAACAAGGTGAACAATAGATACTGTCAATGCTGTTTATTGTTTTCAACGTTCAGATTCAACAGACAAAACATGAACAGCATTCACAGTTAAAGAAGGGAACTTAAACGTGATCAACTTTGTCGTGTAGCGCTAGGTGTGGCCCAGAGCGGCTGGTCACTGAGGGCAGAGGAGGAAGGAGAGGAGCCTTGATGCCCCCGGGTGCATCCCAGGCAGCTGCGGTCACTGCTGAGCAGTAACGAAGCAATCAGTGCAGCTCCATGTGTGACAGTCAGAGTTATTACGATAACAAGAGAAGAAATTCGGAACAAAACTGAGAAATGTACAAGACGTGAATTCCCAATCTTTCAGGCAGCAGCCTGAGTCAACGGGAAAAGATGTAAACTCAGGAACAGGTGTGAGCACACCGTTCCCAGACGAGGAGAACTGACACCATAGGAGACCACACGGGAGTCAGACGGGGTGCAGGGGTGGAGATTGTAGTTCCAAGTATATGATTATTTTTATAATCTAAAAAAGTGCCATACAAAATCCTGTGTTTGTTATTTTAGAAGGTAAATGTGGGAGGGACACATAACATTTTTACAAGTTGCTTGATTTAAGATTAAGATTGTTGATTAACTTTCACAGATGTAGCGTAGATGGAGAATAGTACCAAACTTTTAATATCTATTAGCTGATATTTATTTAATCATATGAATCCAAATATACACTTTTATCTTACTATACTAAAATCATAAGTTGTTATAAGAGGCATTTCACCTACTCTCAGGATCATGAGACTGATCCTCTATTTATTTCTGAGGCCCCCTCACCCCTGCCAAGGTTCTATTTTTCACTTGTAACATCATATCCAACAAGCCATGTGCTTACAATGCTTAAGCTCCCCCTGAATTATAAGTCAGGTACTTTTAGAAGATGAATTAATTATTATGATACAAGAGAAAGCTATTAAATATTGTAATCCAATCACACAAACTGATTTTTAAAAATTCCTTCACAAATTTAGGAAGCTTTCAGCCCCTGCAGCTACTGAGCGTCTCTCTGTTCCCCTCCCTGCAACCCCCTTCAGCAGGTGTCCTAGGAAGAGATAGCACACAGGCTAAGCAGTGAGGAAACAATGTAAGACTAGGAATGATCTCTGTTCACTAACATTCGCGTAACCAGCAGGACAACAGAAACTCCGTCTTTCATCTGAAACAGTTGAGAGAACAGCTGGAAGACGTTTGAGAGGTATGATAAAAATAAGTCAAGACTCCAGTTCAAATAAAATAAAAGTTGCCACACAGAGTCACCTAGGAGTCCATGATTTATGACTAAAAGAAAATTATACCACAACTATTTCTGCCCTTCAATTTGTACCTACATTTATTTTTTTCTTGGGGCACTGTAAAATGAGAGGAGAGAGGAGAATTCAATAAGGATGTGTGCATATGTGACAATAACATGAAGGTAAAGGGAAGGAGAAGCAATAAAAGAAAACAGCTGCAACTCTTAGAGCTGCAGAACTGGCTTTACCAAATCCACGTCTACAAGAGCACGTAAGGTCCTACCCAGTGCAAATGCCCTTAGAGTAAATAATCCCATTTCCCCCAGGTGCCTGACTCATTCTGGACATAAACACAAAACACAATGTCAGCATACCGTTTCAGAGCAAAATATGTCAATGACACTCATCTAGTCTTTTAATTTTAGGATTTTAAAAACATACCATGAAGAAGCATTTTTCATGATGGAGATAATATACACGTTTCCTTTTAGTGCCACGGAAAAAAGTCCTTTTTCTCTTTCAGAACAATTTCTTGTTTTAATTGTTCTAGTCTGATAATTTTTTTGTGTGTGTGTGAGGAAGACTAGTCCTGAGCTAACATCTGATGACAATCCTCTCCTTTTTTTTTTGCTGAGGAAGACTGGCCCTGGGCTAACATCTGTGCCCATCTTCCTCTATTTTATATGGGACGCCGCCACAGCATGGCTTGACAAGCGGTGCGTCGGTGCACGCCCGGGATCCAAACCTGAGAACCCCGGGCTGCAGAAGCAGAGCGCGCACACTTAACCACTGCGCCACCGGCCCAGCCCCAATTGTTCTAGTCTGATAATTTTATCTCAACCTAAATAACCTTCAGTATTCCTGCATGTCTTTTACTGGCAAACACAAAAAGAATTGAGAAGATGCGCCAAGTGCAAAGTCTTCTCCTTTCTGAGTACAAACAGAAAGAAAGTGAAAAGACAGTTCAAATTTTCATTCTAACCCTCCAGAAACTCAACAAGGAGTAGGCACCTGGCTTTATGGAATGTGGTTCCAATGCTGCTAGTCACAAATACTACAGATTACTAATCAAGTATGAATGGCTCAGTATAGCACTGCAGATGGACAATGGACTTTATCATCAGACAGAATGAGTCCAAATCACGGTTCTACCATTCACGAGATGTGCAAACTTGGGCAACTTATTTAAATCTTTTGAGCATCTTCCAAATTAATAATAATAATATGTACTAGAATAGGCACCAGTGCTTGGCATATGCTAGGGAGTTCAGAATGTTAAAACACAGCCCCCACAGTACTGGGTGTAACTCCACCTAAAGACGAGTTTACTCCACCTAAAAAACTAGTTTACTCCACCTAAAGATGAGTTTACTCTACCTAAAGACTAGTTTACTCCACCTAAAAACCAGTTTATTCCACCTAAAGGATAGTTTACTCCACCTAAAGACTAGTTTCATTCAGGCTCAGCCACTCCAGTATAAAGGGACATCCCTCAGCAGAGATTCGTGACTTCAGTGTGCCACATCAGAAATGAATGAGTTAGATGATTCGTTTTGGCTGGCTGTTGCACCATTATATTATCAGTTCTCATTTGAGGAGCAGTTAATGCATTAAAAGATATTTTAAACTGGATATTTATTTACTCTTCTCACATAGGTATGTATGAGAAATATAATGATAAAGAAACCCAGGGTAAAATAACGAGACAGGCAAGAAATATATATGGCTCATGGACTCAAGTCTCATAATTTAATTGTAATTTTCACGTTTTAGTTTTGACCCTGAGATTATACGTACTTCACTCTTTCAGAACCTCCCTTTCCCAACTACAAGCAAGAAAGGCAAGAGCCCTCTTGCTGTTTCACGTGCAAGGAAAGGTTTAAATGCACATAAATTAAGAGAGGTTAACACGTAAGTGTTCGTGAGTTTCAGTCAATTCAGAAATGGTATATTTTCCAGTTGAGATAAGAACTGAGGTCTAGAAGGCACCGAGATACTGAATACAGATGAAACTGAAAGGAAGAAGGCTAGAAAAATAAGGAAAAAAATTGGTCCAAGAATAATATAGTGGCCATATATTCAACACTTGATATGTGACAGCCAGATGCTTTAAGTAAATCATCTCTCATACTGTCAACAACCTCACAAGAAGGCATATTTAAGCATATTTATCTCCATTTATAGGTGAGCAGACTGAAATTCAGAAAGGTTAAATGATCTACCCAAAGTCCTCGGGTAAGAGCAGTATGGCCAGAACCCAACCTGGAGTCTGTGTGCCTCAGAGGTCAGCTCTTCATCACACCAGCTGCCTCTGGGACACCAACACTTTGTCAGAGGGCACTCTCCCTTCCTTCACTTGTACAAGACAGAACAAAAACGAGGTGCAGAAACAGCTTATGGCCTTGATGAACGCTCCTTCCTTAGTTTTTTCCTGTTACTCAAATGAACAAGTGAGATTTAAGAAAGAAAAGGAGAAGAGGAGAGAGGGGAAGGGAACCCAGACTGACCCTTCCTAGTCTGAAGCATCGTTTGCCCATCTACATCCTGCTCTCTCTCGTTCCTCCTAGAAACATGACACGACTCAGACACAGTCATGTTGGATTGCCCTTTACCTTCCGTGTAGACAGAATAAAAAAACAAAACAAATAAATTTAACTCCCAAATACATACATTGTGCTTCACATGAGCCCCTTTTAAATTCTAAGAATTCCAATGGCACACTGATTTACTTCTGTTTCTGCAAAGTTACAGACTTACCATGAAACTTTGAGGCTTCAGGATCATTCACATTGATAGCAATTAATTTCCAATCTGTTTCACCCTGATCAATGAGAGCCAAGATTCCAAGGATCTTCACACTAATAACCTCTCCACAAGACAGTACCTTTAAAGCAAAAAGAAATTTAGCATTTGCAAGGTGTTGGAGAAGTTCACTCACATATCATAAAAATCCATACGAAAGATTCAAAGCACTACAAACTGGAATTTAATAAAGCTTTAATAATTAAAAATAATATAAAAATGGTCATAAGGCCTTTTATGTTATCCCTTTTAGAATTAAGTATCTTGATCCTTTTTTTGCAAATTGAACTTACTTATAGATCTTGAAATTTAATGTACTAGGCCTAGAAACTCACACTGAATAGATAATAAACCCATGTATATCATTCCATAATATAACCTGGCTTCTGCAGCTTAGAGGTACAGAGAGACTTGAGAATCCTTAAATTGTTTCATAGTACCTTTTCTGCAAGCCACACTTATCAGTTACTAGTGAAAAGTAAATTTTAACATATTAGGAGAGGGAGTCAAGATGGCAGCGTAAGCAGACTCGGAACTCACCTCCTCCCGCGGACACAGCCAATTTACAACTACTCGTGGAAAAATTACCCCTGAGACAGAACTGAAAACTGGATGAGAGGAACTCCTGCAACAACGGACAATCC